CACCTTCCACCTAGGTTAATCCTGTTTCAATCCTCAATAAAGTAAGGCTCTATTAGTGCCTAGAACCGGACACCGAAGAACTGTCAATGTCAATAGATACTATATCATATGCCTTCCTGTGCAATTCCTGCTGTAAAGCGGCTGCTCCCTGCTCCGACCCTACTGCTAATCTGCTTTCCGGGTGTTAACGGCGCTGAATACGTCTCCGAATGTTGACAGTGTTGAGGTATGTTAGGATGCAATTAAGACGGATGATCTGACTAAGACGATTTACCGGGCTCGATTTATGTTGTGTAAGTAGTGGTAAGGTATTAAAATTTTGTCCACATATTTAGGAATGTTTATATTTTACTAGACAAGGTGACGATAAAATCTACCCTCACAAAATTTGAACAAAATTAGTTAATTTCAGTATTTTTATTAATATCGTTTTGTCGGTTTCAAAATTTTTTATATTAGGGAATTAAATTAGCGTGTTGGTATTAGAGACTTCCTATAGGAGTCATGCTAAGCTCTAAGTAAACGAATAGGTTCAATAATTTAATACCACATTCGCTTTATCGAATTTAATCATGTTTAAGGAACAAGCATCAATTAAAGCATTCGCCTACGGAACACACGTAAGAATGAAACGAAAGTTGGTAAAGGCACTCATTTGGTAATAATGAATAAATGGAAGGTAAATGACACAACACACGAGAATGAATAAGCCTGGGGCCTTGCAATCATAACAAGTTACGATTTCGTAACTCAATCAGCCAATCACTAACGGCTTTTATAACTAAACCCACCAATCACTGACAAGAAATCAGCCGATATGTGTATTTAGGCTACCATGTGTACTTTGAACTTTTCTTTGAACTTGTACTGAAGCAACTTTTCTTTGAACTAGTTTTCTTAGAACGGCGCTAGAAAATAAACTACATCGAGCAGAGAAGACCTTTGCTGTTATCACTGATTACGCGAAAAGGTCAAGTATATTTTCATGGCTGCAGCTATTCTAGGTATGTTTTTTTCAGAATCTGATGTTGTTGCTTTCGTTAGCAAGCAAAAACTCTTGCGGATGTTGCCAAATAAAATCGGTCAATGAAGAGTTGAAGACTCTGATATTAGTTATAAACTGCGGGTGAATTCACCTAGGTTCAAAACACACAAATTTTCACGTATCATCTCACTCCTTCCAAGTAAGGAATACTTCTTATCTTAAAGAACATTCGACCTTCTAGCATTTGCATGTTATCGAAATGGACCTCAGCCTGTGAGTGACAGATATCAATTGAGATAACTTCGGTGGCTGCCCTGCGATATGCAGAGGCCACCATCAGTCCCTGATCTAATTAGTTAGCTTGAATAATTTATTTAATTGGTTGATGACGATGTTAGGACAGGACGAAGAAGTAAATTTCTGCGGTTTGGAAGCGAGAGAAATGGACAAGAGAAGTGGACAAGAGAAGCGGATAAGAGAAGTGGACAAGAGAAGTGGTCATGTCGCGCTCGAGTTCGTTTCCGTCGCCAAAACGGCTTCAACACATGTCAGCTATGCTTACGAACATGTCAGCTTACGAACTGGCTTTGGAGTCCACCCCTTCTGTCAACGCCAATATGAATCCCCTAGATCAGAATGCCATTATCAAATCGTCGGAAGTTGGAAAACATCGTTGAAGAAGATTGATTTCAAGAAGATAACTTCATCATCAAATAATTTATTGGATCTCAACTTAAATAAAAAATTTAAGTCATTTAATGCTGCGTAAATTCAGAAATATTAATAGGTCATAATGTCCAAATAATGACAGATTTTCTTATACACGGCGCGAGCATCGGGCAACACTGTTATTCCATTCTATGAGGCTAAAATTTTACCTGTCACTCAACCTTATCTTGTGTGTGTCTAGATGACCCACGCAGGTGCAAAAAATTAGATCAGTACTCACTGCAGTGAGTGACAGAGAGCGCATTTTCTCACGTCCGTCCGTCCGTGACTCCGCGGACGGAGGGACGGACATGACGAGCACAATAGCGCCAGTTTTTCCATGAATGAGAAAATGCGCTAAAAAGTGCATCGCTATTTGGACAAACACTCACTAATTTCTTAAACTGTAACACACAGAGAGACTTTGCAGCGCAGTGGTAGCTGCACCGAAATGAGAGCAGCTAGTCGTGGGTTCGAGCCTCGTGAAGTCCGAGAGTTCATTCTCGAGAGCGAAATGCACTCTCTCCGAGAGTGCATGAAGTAGTGCATTTCTCGCTGTCGCTATTGGGCAGTGCTTAGTAGCCGTCAATGAGTGGTGCATCAGCATGGTTTTGGGTTGGCATTCTCTAGGTGCTTGTTACCAGGGGAGATCTTAAATTCTTGAAATCCATTCCTAATTAATAGTAAAACTTGTTTATATCTCTTTATTCCGCGCATATGGTTGAAAATGACGGAAACGTTTTAAATAACTTCTTTATGTTGGAACTTGAATGACCAATTGAAAAATATTTATTGTAGTTTATTATTTTGATTATTGGAAGCCGCTTCGTTGGATTTATTTCCCGATATACGATGAAATAAATTGAAATTCTTCACGATGATATAAAGGAGGTTTAGAGGCTCTACGAAAAGAGTAATATACTAATATATATTATTTAATATACTATAGATACATTTGAAATATAGATATAAATAAGTAGATAAGGCAGTATTTTTATTAGTATATAATGGATATAAATATCGTCATACAACCAATTTTGATGAATTACAATATGACGTTGTCAGAATTTGGTGTCCTGAAAGTCCTGTAGGAATTTTGTGTTCGAAAAGTCCTGTTCCAAATTTATAGCCCGGCCAGTTTAACCCTCTTAACCTGAAGATATGACCTGAAACTAACCACCCGCAACCCTCACGATAACGTCGAGCTAACCTTGCAGGTTATAATTCAGACCTCAAGTTAACAAAAAATTATAAATTATAGGGCATTCTTCAAAATTAACTACCAATATTTGCTGGTAGTAATTGTAGGGATAATGAAAACTAATATTATTAATTATAATTATTAATGTGCTGAATGTGTAATGCGATGTACTGTGTATTAACGTGTCTTAATGATAACTGTGCGGGTACCAACAAACATGTACACTGGGACTACTTTCACCCACTACATCAAAATATTATATATAATCCAAAAATTTTCCTCTAATCCAAAACTTTGCTCTCTAATCCCAAAATTATTTGCTCAAAACCGAATTTTCCCACTCTAATCCGAAATTATTGCTTATAATCCAAAATTTTACCCTTTAATCCGAAATTTTCATTCAAATCAAAATTTTGCCCTCTAATCCCAAAAATTTTCTTTTTTATCATAAAATTTCCTCTAAGCCAACCTAGCCTGCTACTCTTTAGCGTTTTGATACGAGACCAGTAGCACGGAGAAATATACGAGACCAGAAGCACGGTAAATATACGAGGCCAGTAGCACGGTAAATATACGAGGCCAGTAGTACGGTAAATATACGAGGCCAGTGGCACGATAAATATACGAGGCCAGTAGCACGGTAAATATACGAGACCAGTAGCACGGTAAATATACGAGGCCAGTAGCACGGTAAATATACGAAACCAGTAGCACGGTAAATATACGAGGCCAGTAGCACGGTAAGTAATGACCAAGTATTTAATATTTGTAGGGGCCACCACTTCATTCAACGCAACTGTCTTTCTCACGTTCAACGCTAGACTCGTTATTATGTATACTCGGATCATGTTCTCCTACACTCGACTGATGAATCATATAAGCTACTTGAACTTTTATGTTATTTTTTGCATCTTATATTTTGGAAGTAGTTCTAAGTGAAATGCGAAGTTTTAGCCTGTCTTTCTCATCTCTTAATCATTTTTTTGCAGGTCAGAACTATATTGGGCTGAAACTTTCCTCCCGCAAGCTCTATTACTGTAAGTGGCACCAATGCTCCCGCCATTATTCACTCGTCCCCGTTATTGTATTTTTGATTCCTTAACTACCAAGTTTCATCACTATAGTCCTGCTTGATTATTCCGTTAATTTATTTGCAGATAAATTTTATAGTACTAATTCTTGAATTTCTCTCTGCAGCCACACCGAATGCTAACGAAACGTAACCCTTAACAACAAGATAACACTAGTATCATGTTTTTTGATGCTAGGTGTTATCTATGTTACCACGTTTTTCTTCTCTTCGTTTCGTGTCCGTCTGTCATCAAAAATTCAAACCTTAATTTAGGGCTCTTCTGAAGATCCTGGAAACTTGAAATTTGGCATGAATGCTTATGCTGCCTAACAATTCAAGATTTGATCATCAGAAGTAATAAGTTTAAAAAATTTTATTTTATTTTTTTTTTTAATTAAAAAACCCCTAAAAATTCAGGGTTGGGAATCGAGTTTTTTTGTCGACCATCCAGAGCTGCCAACCATGGAAAAGGATTTGAATTGTTAAAATTTCTAAACTAAAAAGTAGAAAATATACATAAACAACCCTTTTTAAAAACCACGTTTTTCTGGTGGTTTCAAAACTAAAAACAATGAAATAAAACAAATAAAGAAAACTTTTAAAAACCACGTTTTCTTAACAGACAAAAAATAAAAACATCAACACTTACACAACATTCCATAACATTCTATATAACTTTAATGTTATGTAAGACTTAATGTTGTTTTTATTTGTCCGTTAAGAAAACGCGGTTTTTAAAAGTTTTTTTATTTGTTATATTTCATTGTTTTTAGTTTTGTAACCACCAGAAATTTTTAAATAAGGTTTCTTTATATATATTTATGTTTATATTCTCGGACAGCTAACATATCGATAGGTTTCTCGAAAATATTGACATTTTCGAGTCCAAGTATACGAACAAATGCACATGTTGCGTTCACAACACTCGCCTAGAATAGCTGTTGCTATGAGAATATACCTGACCTTGTCGTGTAATCAGTGAATCTGTGAGAAACACCAGCCTGCTGTGCGCGCTATAAATAAGGTAACTTATTGGACCAACCCACTGCATACTTGGTGGTATTTCTCCTGAACATACTTTTCCTTCGAGAGCCCTAATAAACTTGTTTTTTTCGTTGTATTTAAATTTATAAAACGTTTGATTTAGAGTTATACTACCCTAGGACCACCCGGATGTTTCCGTCGACGATCATCTGCTTGCTACTGCTCATCATCGGTGAGTGTCTTCTGCATAGGAATTAGAACAACCATTATGTGAAGAACTGTCAGCTTTTGTAAGTAGTTCCATCTTTTGTTAGTGTCTGCTTATTATTATTAAGAGTGTAGTCAATTGGCAGCGAAATAATTGTCAAATCTAGAAACAAATGAAGTCAGGAAATTTCACTCAACAACTCTTGCTGATTTGACAAATTTTTTCGCAATATTTTATTATTTTTATCAAATTAGCAAATGGTCATTCGAAGTCAAGTGCACAATTTTGATTGAAAATCTATCACACCTGACAACCATAAATATTGATGAAATTTTACACATTAGTTGGATCCCTTTTCAAACCAACTCTGAAAAAAAATTCAGCTCAGAATACGAAAAATATATGAATTTAAGGGCCTTCAAAAACTTCAGATCAAAAAAACTTTTATAATTATGGGCGCTCAAAGGAGGGGCGTCGAAAATTTTCCCTGATCGCGCGGCGCCAAATCTCCAACTTCAGGTCACTGCTGTGGCATGTCTGTGCTGCATGGCCTCGAGTGATGTGGCTGCAGGACTTGAAGAGGTGCTTCTAAGAAATGTTCTCAATAGTTTATTGTTGATATTTTTAGGTAGAATAAGGTCAAACTTGCTCGAAAATCAAAAGTGCAGAAAAATTCACAAGTTCAGTGCCATGTAAATCACAGGAAACTGTATAAATCTCCAAGATACATGTACATGATACATGTACAGTCTATTGCCAGCATTCGTAACATTTTATACAAAAAATTATTGATGCAATGTATACATTGTAAATGAAAAAATATAACTCAGTACTCACTGCAGTGAGAGACAGAGAGCGCATTTTCTGGTCGACGAAAACTTGAGGTCACGGACGGACGGACAGACAGACAGACGGACATGGCGAGCACAATAGTGCATTTTTCCATAAATGAGGAAATGCGCTAAAAATGATCAGATTCACTTTGATATTTCAGTAATCAACTAAAATTCCTAATAGAAGCCTCGGAGCCATTTTTTGACAATGGTTAAATACAAACTTAGTAAGTTTTAGTAAACTAATTTTTTTTTTTTATTTATTCACACAGGAGCACACGTTACAATGAAAAATAAAAAGAGACGTGAAAAAAAATAGCAAGGCTTCCAGGTGAATGCCCATAAGCTAAAAAAGCTTCGCAGGCAAAACAATAAGTACAAGACTCAGTTCCAATGATAACAAGACGGCGATTTGAACAAATAAGTAACAAATTTATAAAATTAGCAAAACCATTGACAAAAGCCTTAAAAACTGATAACCGTATGTCATAGTAGAAAAATCAGCAAAAAAGAGGCAATGTCAACATTACACTTAGTAAAACAGAGTACAACTATAAACATCTAGTCAAAATACCTAAAAACTTGCATAATAATCGAAGTCAAATTAATACTGGTTAACGATAAAATCACGGTATTTTATTTTTAAAAACATTTTAGAGCAATCTTGTTTGAAATCATCGGGCAATTCGTTAAAATATTTGACACAATTAAAAACGGTACCGCTTTTTTCTATGTCTAAACGAACCGGTGGTAGGTTAAATCGAACGCCCCTGGTGTTGTGAGAATGCTAGGGAACAAGAGGGGGCGAAAGTAGTTTTAAAAAGACCCTCATCATGGTAAAGTTCTCTATTCATGAACTTTAAAAGTTGAAATCTGAACATATCGTCAAGTTTTAAAATTTTCGACCGCCTATATAATTCGTTAGTGCATATCAAAGGAATATTATTATCGTCATACCTAACCCTAAGCATATAGAACGCAACGATTTATTAAGTAATGTGATGACCGTTTTTTTTGTATTGAAAGGTACACCACCCCAGATTACTAAAGTGCTTGATAGTTTAGATAAAGACAATGCGTAAAAAAGCGTTTTTAATGAAGGAAAAGGCAATATATTTGATAAGGTTGAAACAGTTTTGTTAGAAACATAAAATTTTATACTATAGCACATATGTTAATCATAGCCATGGTGTTTTTCTTGCTATGGAAGAAAACTTAGAAAAGCTGTATTTGCCTCATTATGCACCACTTTGGAATAACGAGAAATTCTTTTGAATTAGATTCTACATTGCAAAAGGCAGTAGAATACTATGATTAGATACCCATGCATATGACAGCTCAGTGGCGAAACGTAAATGAATTTGCAGTTTTCTTTTTCGCACTCTACTTTTTCAATTTTGGAAGGGTATACTTTTTTCAAGAGGCTTCCTCTAATTTTTTTAAAGTTGACTCATCTGTTTGCATACCTCTTTATATGTTAGAAATTTTCAAGTTTATTAATGCTTATTCTCATTTAATATAAGCCAGGGTCGAGTCGTTTATTTCATCCAGGTGAATAAGCACGTGTCAAAAGTGAAAAGCTGAAAAGCTGATAGTCTACAGGAATGAAGAAGTATGGATTTTAAAACAATTATTACCATAGCTAGAATTATTTATTATTATTATATTTATTGTCATTATTATTAATATTACGAGTATTATTATTATATATTAATTGCCCATAGCAAGAGTTAGCGCATGTTATAATACAGAATTTTCTCTTTGTAATAAATACTGTTTAAACAAAATTGATATACTGCAACTATTCAAACATTGTCAAAAATGGCTTGAGGCTTCTATTGGCAATTTTAGATAATTATTACTGAAAAATCAAAGTGAATTATCATCTTTTTTGTGTGTTCAATGATACGTATGTCGGCAATAGACTGTACATGAATCGTGGCGATTTTTACATTTACCTGGGCACTGAACTTGTGAATTTTTTCTGCACTTCTGATTTTCGAGAAATTTGAACTTCTTATACCCAAAAGTATCAACAATTACCTATTGAAAAAAAATTTAATAGCACCTTCTTGAGCTCTACAGACACCTTAATTTCCAAATCAGTGGCTAGCACAGCAGTGACCTGAAGTTGGAGATTTTGAACCATACCATCGGGGACATTTTCACCAACTTCTCCTTTGAGGGCCCACAATTTCAAAAGTTTTTCGTATTTGCAGCTAAAATTTTGGCCTATTCGGGCTGAAATATCAGCTAAAATATGTTAGATCCTTTTGGAAAATAGTCTGGTGGGTACTCTTGGGTCAATTGACATGGACCCTAAAGCCTTCATTGGTTGTTCTTTGCTCCTATCGTAAAGTTTTCGTGTAATTTAAGCATGACAAATTGATTGTATTATCAAATTCGAATTTTCATATGGCAGGCGCTGTCGCAGCCAACTGTCCTGAAGGCTATGAGGTCGTCGGGTCCAAGTGCATCCTCCGTTACACGGGTGGATATCTGACGTACGACGAAGCGGCCACTTACTGCACCCAGCACTTCGGCAGGCTGCCGGTGCTTAAAGACTGCGCTTCCTTCCTTGATGTCACCTCCTATGTAAACGATGGATGTAAGGTTATAACAGGAAAACATGTTTATGTCAATAAACTTGCATAGTTAAAAAATTTGCTTTCAAAATACTTGTCATCTCAGAAACATTGTAAGTCGACCCTCATACCCAAATAAAAATTAAGGGTGGAGCACCGATGATAATAGGTGGCGATAGTAGATTATAGGTGGCGTAACGGTGGGTGGCCAGATCTGCCGAAAATCGACAATAAAACAGCAATAAATCGAAAGAGTGGCGAGTATAAGTGGGAGTCATCGATGAATCATTGATGATTTGTAGGGTCTGAAACATCTATGGCTCATTGCAGACAAATCTCTTATGAGCCACCGATAACCGTTTGCCCAAACCGCACAGTGCACGAAGGTATTTGCCACTATAATTTATCCAACGTATAGTGAGGTGTTTTTGGATTGCAGATCATTCAAGATTAAGATGAAACCATGACTTGTGCTTGGCGTTCTGGCGTTCGTTCGGCGTTCTGAGACGAAACGTTCTGTGTGCTTAGCATTTAAGATTAAGTTCTGTTAAGAAAATTTAGCGAAAATTTAGCGTGAATTCAGTAGGTACGAGTAAAACTGACAGATAGAAGCAAGGTGTTCACAAATTTTCCAAACCAAAGTGAAGCCACTGGGCATGTATCACACTGCTTCTGATATAAATTGTCCGCAGAACAATGGAAAATTTTTGTCGCAAAAAATAGTTTCTCAAAATATGACAGCGAATCCAATTTTTTATGTTCACATGAGATATTGAGTAAATTTATTACGAATTTCGCGTATACGCCAACTGGCTGTGTTGGAAATATTGCGATCAATTCAGACTAATTATTGTATCATTAAGTATAAATTGTATGGATCGATTAAGTGTGTTATATAATATTGACAATATTCTCAAATCGACCCATTTATCTAAACTCGAAAGCCACGTCGACGTAGTCTGTAGAGGCAAGGCATCTCTAAAGCACAGCGGCTCGGCGGCTCCCAAGCACAGCGAGCAGTCGAGTAAGCACACGTTCACACGAGTTGGGTTTCCGGGAGTCGGCGTTGAGATTCCTACTGATCTAACTAATCTTTACTATGACCTGCTTCCTACTAATCTTTACCATGTCCTGCTTGAAATATGTGCTTTCCGGGTTATTTTCTCGTCAAAAAAGTATCATTTTTCCGCAGAAGGATACAAATAAAAATTCGTCTTTCTATCGCTTACTTCGATAGTGGAATTTAATCATTTAGGGAAATTTGCTTATACAGTCCGATAATTATTTCGATTTTAAGTCTAAATTTATACTAGAGTGGTCCTGGTATCTTTTGGACGCAAAAGATTAAAGATTATGCAAGAGAAAAATAGTGACACGAAGTGGAGCAGGTAATTCACGCCTGAAATTTCAAAATAATCGAGTGATATCAATTCTTATTTCACGCAAGAATATTCTTGATGAAATATTTCGAATCAAACAGCTGTCAAAATTGGTGTAATGTTCACATTATGAAACTTCGATGTTTATTAAACATTTTTCCGTAGCCTTTATTCTGAGCTGAACCATCGTTCGTTACGAATAAACGGAGTTTGTTTCAGTGGCTGTTTATTTGAATGTAGCAGCATTTTCAAATAAAATTGTTGATGGAACCATCTAATCATCACGGTGGTAGCACTAACTTCTGTCATTCGATGAAATTAATACTTGCAATACTCCAGTCAAATATTTTAAAATTACTCTAGAGGCTAGTCCACTCCTATAGCTCAACGGTAGAGGCTCTGCTTCGCGTGCGTGAGATCAGAGTTCGGATCCTGCAGGCTGGGAGTTTCTTCAAGTCGATTTCTCACGAGGTATGTGTATGGTACTCTGAAAATTTGTTCCCGCTACATGTTTGACATTGTTACTTGTACTATCATGGTAGGTCCATGTACGCAGCCCTTACAATGCTGATTGTGTGAAACTATGTCAGTAAATACTTAAGCATTGGATTAGAAACTAAATTATAAATTTTTTACGACTTCATTTTAAAAAGTGGCCATCGGTGGCTCGTCAATGTTCCACTGGTGCCAATGGGTAGTTATTTGCGGAAGAAGAGCTTTACGGGTAGGGGGGCCATAGGCAGGTTATAAGTGTGGTAAATGTGGTGCACGCCACCCTTAATTCACTAAATAAATCATAGCTGCTCCACCTATGGCGTCCGCCTATAGCCATCTTAAAAACATAGGTGCTCCACTCTTAATTTTTATTTGGGTAGGGTAGAAGTCAATTTTAGCAATGAAGTCTCTTCCTGTGCATCAACTTGATGTTTAGTTGAACCGGAATTTCAGCCAACATAATTCGTCTGTAATAGGCTTCTAATTAATTTTCTTGCAATATCTTTATGACTCTATTATCATTAGACAAACGCTGTGCATCCTCTACGCTGATTTTTAAAAACTTTGTGAGTCGGCATGCCCTGTTAGCCGCGGGGGCAGAATTTGACTCTACAATAATACTGCAGTACTTATTCACTCACAATTGGCCCTGTGTACAACACACAGCTTTTGTGTAATAGCCAAAAATGTCAGGTGGCCGTACCACTCGGCTTGGGGCGACCGAGCAGGTGCTACCCTAACCAAATTCAGAGGCGCCTCAGCTTCTGATTCGAGGAATCAGAAGCTGAGGCAGATCTCAATTTTAACTGGGTAAGGGTGCAAAAGATGAGCAACTCGAGGAGGTGGCCAGGTAGTTAAGAATCGGCGGCAGGCTAACAGGAATTAATTAACGCTGAAAGCACTATATTAATTACTATTAACGTTACACTCCGTCAGACACAAGTGATTTCAACAACAGCTACTGGTTAGGCGCGACCAATGGAACGCTCACCAATGTTTGGCAGTGGAGTGACGGAGCGGCCGTGCAAATGGGTGCTCCGTACTGGGCCAGGGTGAGTCAATCCATGTTTTTTCTGTACATGACACAACATATTTGCTAGAAGGAAGTTTATTTATCATGTTAACGTTAATGGATGAAACTCTACTAAGTCACGACTAGATTCAATAGGATTTGACTAAATGCAATAGGATTGAACAATATGATATGAAAAACAGTATTATAATGTTGAGGGAACTTACTTAAAAATTACTGCAAACAGAAGGTGAAGTTTTGAGTGTCTCTTATAAAAAGTCACTCTTAATTCTACTGTTAGAAATAACATCGATTTGCAGTCTTAACTCTATGCAGATTTAGTAGACCAATCGTTATTCTCACTTATCTTTTTGTGTTTGATTCGACCTTCCCAAATAAAAATTATTGCTGGAGCATCGATGATTATTGGTGGCTATAGGTGGAAATTATAGGTTGAGAGCACCGACGGCGAATCAATGAGCCATCAATGACCTTCTCGAATTAGGTCGATAGAAATTTTCCGTTCGTTTTAAACCCAATGACTGTTCATTATCACATTGATCGACATTCCTCCCAAATACGAAACACATTTTTTTGAGGAAATCATTTTGCGGATTACTTATACGCATCAAGCATGGCGATACAAGCAACAATGTCGGAATTGTAGCAGGAACAAATAATCACAGCGAATCAAACTCGTGAGAAATCGACATGAAGAAAAGTCCCTGCCTGCTCGGATCGATCACAAGTCTCCCGCGCGCAAAACCAAGCCTCTACCGCTGATACATCGGATATTCGGAGAGGACTTACCAAACGCGTCACTTTGAGAGATTAAACTGAAGTTTTGCAATTTTTAATTTCATCCATTATTATTAATAAATGCCATACTGTGTTGATTAGATGGTTCCATCAACCACTCGAACATGTTAATATGTTCCAGAAAACGGCAGCTGAAATTCCGTTTATTATACATCGAAGTTTATTTAAACATTATATCCGTTTTGAGAAAGGGTAGTTCAGAAATATTTTCGACGGAAATATTTTTGTAGAAAATAAGGAATGTTTAGAATTGACATCACTCGATTTTGAAATGTCAGGGGTGAAATTCTTCCAAAAATCCGCGCCGATGTTTTTTCTTCTAACATATGGATAATCTGTCACGTAGGAAGGATGCTGAGACCACATTATTATATATGTAAACTTTAAATCAAAATAATTATGTGACGAGAAAAGCAAATTTCCCATAAGTAGATAAATTACAATATCAATGTCAGTCCATAGAGAACTGCTTTGTATCTTTCAGCGTAAGGAGGATATTTTTTCCGCAAATAACAGAGTTTTTGACCAGCAAACTAACCGAAACACATTCTACAAGCAAGGCGTAGCAAGGTTATGGAGCCTCAGCGCGCGAACGAGCTTGTACACGACGCTGGAAGCTCAGCTTGAAAATGTGGCAACTATTGCGAAATATATTTGATTGATCCATACTATTCTTTCTTACTGATCCGATGAACGAGACTCTAGTGATCGCAATCTTTAAATCGCAGCAAATTGATGCGTATGGTGAAATAGCACCAAATTTAGGTTATAGATCTGGTGAACATGAAACATTGGATTTGGAAAAATCGGAATCGGATCTTATGATGAATGTATTTGTCGCGTAAAATGTTTCTATTGTTCCATCGCTTCGGACAGTTAATGTCAGGGGACGTTTAGCAAGTGCCCAGTGGCTTCACTTTAGATCAAAAAATTTATGATCGTTTTGCTACCGACTCTGTTTAACTCGTTGACACTCAATGCAAGCTAAAATTTCGAGAAATTTGCTTCAATCTATATTCTGAAAGTCAAGCACCCGGACGCAATCATGATATTTTTCTTGATCTCGAATGACCCGCAACCTAATGACTTTTTTCTACGTTGCATAAATTATAGTTGAGCTAAGTTCTGGCAGTGATCGAGGACGCACGTAGTGTTTGCGGGTCCCAACTTTCTCACTTTTTACTATGCCGGTTTGACTTATCTCGCGAATTTTGTACCGAAACGATTTCAGTGAAAGGTTCAATTTTAGTGCAGTTCAATCAAAATTGTGCGAATAGTAAGATTTGAAATGCCTAGCTCCTTATCGAACCCGGTGGAAGTCTAGTAGCTACTTCAAACTATCGCCAATCATGAAAAGATCCGGTCAAATGACACGAGTTTAGATCTATGAACAAGGCACGAAAAGGAAAAGAATCGACGACAGGCCACATCAGGCCTACACTTCAGCGCCGACATCACTATGTTATGTTATGTTATAGTGGCTCATTCCTTCGTGCACTGCGCCTTTAAGACAAACTGTTATCGGTGGCTTACAGGAGATTTGCACGCAATTCACCAAAGATGATTCACACCCTATAAATCATCGATGATGCATTACCGTCTATACTCGCCACCATCTCAATTTATTGTTTTTCTACTGTGACACATGTAGCCACCCATCATTACGCTACATATAACATACCATGCCTTCCTATAACCATAGGTGAACCACCCTTAATTATTGTTTGGGTAATAGGGAAACTTTATTGAGTGATTACATTCAGACGTTAGCGCTAGAAATATTACAGCTGCATCAACTTATTGCATTGAGTGCTTCATGTTATCACAATCAAAAAAATTTTAACAGCTCCCTCCTCAGAATGCTGAAGAGAATTTGGAAACTGAACCTTCGGGTGGAACGAGGCAGAACTGTGCTTTTGTAGCAGATGACACGGACTGGTTATTCCGAGACATCGAATGTACAGCCTCTTTTAATCCACTGTGCTCAAGACCTTCAGTAAATGGTGAGTTACTCTTCTGTTTTGAAGCCTTGGAAGGTAACCTGAACAGGGAGAGGGTAAACATTTTGTGGAAAATTTTGTTCTAAGATTTTGCTTATTTTATGCAGTCAACTGTTAAATTAATCCCATCGAAAGAATTTTACGAGAAAACTGTAGAATTACGTAAAATATTATTATAAGTTTGTAGGTAATTTTGACTTGACTATTTAATTTTCAGGAGTTAACTCTCAAGATTAGGTAGATATCTTAGAAAAATTTACGGCTCGAAAGTGAAACAATCCGATAAATGCTTCACGATTATCAAAAAGAAGAAGGGAAAAAAACATAATGAAGGAAAGCTAAAAAACTTACAGCTATCCAGCTCAATAAAGAATATTAAGTGAGGGCATCATGCAATATATGCATTATGGTATCTATGTGCAGTCTACGTGTTTACTTCTGGATTTTTATCGTTTTATCTTGCTCGATTTCATTCTGACCTTATTGCGACATGGTACATATTGAACTAGAGGTTTGCATCAACAAATATTTACTGACATCCTACTGTCCTTACCTTGTGCCTGAGTGTTTACATCCTTACCTTGTGCCTGAGGGTTCCATGAACATTGCTTGTTGTGCATAAAAAGCTGACGTTTATAGTTGCATGGCAATATCCATAGTTCTGATGATGAACACTGCAGTTAAGCAGGATATAGGGTCTTGAAATAAATTTGGTAAAGTCAGATTAAACGCACGAATGGCAGGACCCTAGTCTAAGCAGGGCTAATCTCTTATGCAATAACTTCCTGAGCTAATATCCAGCTTTCAAGTTTCAATAATCTAATAACTTTCATTCATTCCACACTTAACATATGTTAAGTGTGGTCTCTGCGTGCATCCTTTTCTACTATGTTTTCTACTGCAGGTCTCTGTGTGCATCCTTTTGTTTTGGTTGGCACTCAATGTGTTCACATATCTACGATCATATACCCCTGGCACGAGGCTCGTAACCAGTGTGGACTGGTCGGTGGTGATCTGATTGTTTTCGACGACTGCGATCAGTACCACAAGGTTGCCCTCTACCTCAATGAACAAGGTAACCGTTTAAAAAGTTCTATATAATTTTTCAAAATAAACACTACCCATCAAACCCTAATGATGCTTGAACGGTTATATATAATAAAGATAACTAGGAACAGAGCTTTGAAGTTGAGGTTTAATATGCGAGTGATGCAGACCCGTATTCCTAAGGTTAAAATGGAGTCAGGTCATACCATAATTAATTTCTATTTACCCCCACCAGCCTAGCGCCTTCAGAAAGTAGTTAACTCAGAAAAACTTCCCTTTCTCAATTTAGTGATATTTATATCGTGAGTGCTAGAGAAACAGCAGCGGTTTTACTCAGAATAATATTCCGAAACTTAATTCCTTACCCCTTAAATCTTTTCTGAATAAGAACACAATGCCTATTGGATCGGGGGCTCGGATGAGGCCGAGGAAGGGCAATGGCGCTGGGTTGACGGTTCGCCGATGACCATGGGACTGCCTTACTGGGCACAGGTAAGGATATTGACTCGTAGATATTTACAAGAAGTGCACAAAAAAGCAAACTCAGAATTGCTTATTCATATCATTGTTTGAAAACAATGGAAATTAAATCTCATCTATCGAAGCTAGTTGCCGGTGATATAATCATTATAAGGTATTGGCAAACGACTTTATCGCAAATTATGACACAACCAAGTTTTGAAAAAATTCAGTTAGAGATTTATTCGAAAATACGGTATATATAACAAAATGAAAACTTGGGATGGAATAAAGTCATTTTGTTAATACGAAACTTTGAAGAATCCAGGATCATGAAATATTTCTGGTAATACTGTAGTTTAAACAATATATATTTGCATTTCTGATGAAAATGATGTAACAATCAACACAATTAATGATTGTTGCAACAATCATCCAGGTTGTTTCTAATATTGAAGTAACGAAAACAATAGAAGATGTTTGCTTTATTTTTGCGCAGGCTGTATTTGGGGAGGTAGAACCCGACAATCCTGGCAAGCAGAACTGCCTGGAGCTGAATTGCGCGTGGATGTACCGCTTCAGCAGCGCGTGGTGCAGTGATGCCAGACGGGTGATCTGTGAGGCAGACCCCATCTAGAGGAGTGCTCTTCACGCCCCATCTAGAGGAGTGCTGTTCATGCCCCACCTAGAGGAGTGCTGTTCATGCCACATCTAGAGGAGTGCTGTTCATGCCACATCTAGAGGAGTGCTGTTCATGCCCCATCTAGAGGAGTGCTGTTCATGCC